TGAAATTTCGTTGATTAATTTACTTAATTAAATAAAAAATATTTATAATTAAAGTCATCAATTTGGGCACGGAAAGAAATTTATCTCTCGCACTATATATCAGAAGAGGATTTGCATGCATTTTCTCTAATAAATTAAGAGATATTGCTGGCCTATCCCGAGATATTGCTTTGGCAAAAAAAAAAATTGTTTTATAGCATTCGAATTTTGCCTACATTTTTGTTCGATTTTTTGAGCCCTGACGTATGGACCACACACATTGAATCATATGTAACAAACCTACGTTATTAATATTCTACCCTAATTAAGTCTCCAATCAAACTGCTTATGTTTTGGTCTATTAATACAACGAATTGAATTATATTCCCTTGCGTCTCTAATCCTTTTAAGAATATTTTACTAAACGTCTCAACTTTTCTTCTCAATTCTGATTAAGTTGGCCCATCCATTCATGTTTTTTAAGACAATTGACTTCTTGCTTCCTTCTTCTTTTTTACTTGTGGGCTCTATTTTATTTTCCCTTGTTAGGATTAAGGTTTTGATGATAACAAAGTGAGTAATTTGTGTTTCAGCATGTTGATCGATTATTTGATCGATCAAGGTTTTATCGATAAGCTAATAGATAATAACACTGTTTAATTAAGTAATCTCAACAGAAGCTTTAATCGATAACGTATTAGATAATGTGTTGATCGATCATTCTTAGTTGTATATGAAAATCTGAAACAAATTATCGATCACTTGATCGATAATCAGGATACAAATTTGATGGGTGTTTATCGATCACATGATCGATAAATCGTTTATCGATGAGAAGACAGATAAATGGTAATGCACTTTACTCTTTCTATGTTTCGCCTCTTTCACCATTTATTGATCACATTATCGATCAACTCTTTATCGATAATATGATCAAACATTGCCTCATAACCTTTCATGCAGGAATTTATTTCAGTGGCTTATCGATCACCTGATCGATAAGAAAATTATCGATCACATGATCAATAATCAATATATCCTTGTTACATTGAGACTCTTCGATCACCGGATCGATAATCTGATTATCGATAACCACTTCAGGTTTATTTTGCTTTCACATAACATGATCGATAAATCAGCTTTTCCGTTTTACAAGAATAGATCTTTTTATCGATAACATTATCGATCAACCTTTTTTTGATCACCTATTCGAACAACTCACTTAGCCTGTGTTTTCACTACATTTGCTTTTGTTTATTGTTTATCGATAAGGTTATCCATCATCTTTTTATCAATAAAGTGTTCGAAAATCAGTGTTTCAAAAGTTATTTCTATAACTTGATCGAACAACGAGTGTTCGAACATTTGTTCGATTATTAGGTGATCTCAGTTCAAACCTTAAGTCTCGATGTTTCTCAAAATTCATCATGTGAGCTTTTCTCAGCCTTCATAAATATCTTGTTTCACTATTTAAAGAATTTCAAAATCAAATGCAACTTTGATCTTCATTGTCTATGCATCATATTATAATGTCACTATGTCCCTTTATCGATCACATGATCGATAAACAGTTGATCCATCACTTGATCGATAATCTTAGTCATCTGGTTCGAAAGCCTTCACTCAGAATAATCGATAACCTGATCGATCAAGTAATAATCGAACATCAATTCGATCAAGCACGATCAGTCTCTACCCATCGCATCTAACAACTGATTGATTCTAATCATAAACTATGATTATTCGTTCTATCATTTGTTCGGTTCTAATTTTGATCTTATTCTACGGAGAAAAACTTATTGGATTAACATACTTTTGCAGATTACGAAGAAAATCCAACGATACTCCAACGGTTATCCAAGTAGCATGTAACCTACCTTGTCAGAAGCATTAATGGCGGGAACCGTTGCAACTGGAAAAACACGCAACCAGGTTCTCAACGGCTAGAAGCTCTTCCGTCTAACGGTTACCAAACGACCTCAACTATAAAAGGCACGAAGAAGCATTAAATGAACAGATTGAATACGTGAGCTAACCTCTGTTGATTTTTACTGTTGCATTCAATACTCTGTTCTTCCATAACAACGAGCGTTAGTGATTATCATTTATTCACTCTGTAAGAGAGTTTATCTACTATTCATTAATCACGATTGTGTGATACTCAAGAGTGTGGACTCTTGAGTGGGTTTGTAACCTTACGGGAAGTAAGGGGGAGTGATTGAGAGTTTCAATTACTGTACTGAGGCGCCAAGAGCCCGGTCAATCTTGGATCATAGTGAAATACTCAGAGGTGTTCTGAGGACTGGACGTAGGTCAAATGGTTGAGACCGAACCAGTATAAATCTTGTGTCTTCCTCTCTACGGTGAAATCATTCTAAACTTACACTCTCTGTTTCCGATAGTTCTTTGTTTTAATTTCAAAAATTTTTATAACTCACCCAATTCACCCCCTTCTTGGGTGAGACTACCACTAACATCCCTCTCCAGTGCTTTCATGATCTCCCATGAACATGGAATTGACATGATTAGTTTTTTCCCTTTTAACACGAAATTGAACTTCAGTCTTTGACTCTTTTTGTTAGCTATTCAATTCTAAATTCTTTATTACATCTTTTTCCCCTTTCGTGTCGAAATATGCCGTGCAAGATGCTTCGTTGCATTTGAGGTGAAATTTATGCTGTTTTTCTTTTTAATTCAACTTGAACTTTGCTCAGGCTTTGCTCACATTTTATTGGTGAATCGTTTACAATTTTTTTTCCTAGGCACATATATTATATAGAAAGCAATCATGTTCAAAGTATTAAATGTAAGCACATCTCTTAGTAAAAATTCAAATATTGATTCGTTATATTATGAAAAACTAATTTTTTCTATTAGACCTAATCCCTATTAATCCCAGTAATTTATTCAATGGTAAAGGAAACTTGGATTCATATATTACTAATTTAGTAGCCTCCTGAACATTTTCCAACTATTAAGGAAGCTTGTTTCAAAAAATTGATAAACATATGAAATAGGTATATAAGACTAGCATTAATTTTCTAATTAGGTTCTACATTAAGAACCAGACAAGTATATTTTAAAATTGGAGTATATAATTTTGTTTTTTAATTCAACCTTCATACTTTCCAAACATTGAATTTAATTTGATGTGACGTAATGCTGATATGGTAACGAAATATTAATTACCTGCTGTTACAATTACTTGCAAATAATAAAGAAAGTGGTCAGCATTAGGTTTTCCTAATATGAAACATATTCTCAATCAAACCCATTCTTCTTCCATGAAAGACTTATGCTGAACGTAACTTTGAACCAAATACATATGTTAGTAACATCATAAATAGGCAATAGTGCAGTAATAATCTGATTATAATAATAAATTCAGGCTATTATATTTATATTATCTATTTATAAACTCTCTTCTCAACCATTGGATCGGAGAATATTGAGAGGCCTCATTTCATTGGAAGTAGTCCAATATTGACTTCCCACGCATAACTAAATTTCTAGGAACGTTATAATTCTTCATCGTATATTTTCATGTATGAAAAAGTACCAATGTTTTCACAAGAAGGGTTAATTATTAAATAAATGGAGCTTAGTGCGAGCAGCTTGATCGACGTCTGAATTAAAACTAATACAAAGGTTTGAACATTGAACAAAGACGATTCAGATTAATTAAAGCTTGATCGTGTGGGTCCCAATTCTTGTTCAACATATAAAATCTTCACCGTGTGTGATGACTTCAAACTTCCCGGACCGTGGAATATATAATATTGAATCATAAAAGGAAGTGTAATTTCCGGGTGTTTTTTTTTTACCTTTATTTTTTCCTCTTATATATATATATATATATATATTCAAGTTAATTAAACGTAAAATTTAATTAATATAACAGTTAGTTGGATCTAATCAACCTGCAATTTTCTTAACTTTTCTTTTATTAGACGTGGGTTACATATAATTGAGATTATTTGCCTTCAGGTAATTTTTTCTTATTGCCAGGACTTCTTTAAATTATTATCATAAATTAAAAAAACTAAATTAAATACGAACATAATACTGAAAAACTCATTACCTTAATTAACTTCGGTTGAAATTCGAGGTATCTTAATTTATTTTTTCTTAAAAAAAATTAAGAATTTAGGTGTAATCTTGGTTGTTGCCAAAGGTCAACTAAATTTCATACAAACGTATAGCGTAACGTACACTCCTTTTTTCAATCAACTAAAAAAAAAAAATTAAATCAAGGCCAACTAAAATCTTGGATCATGAAATATGTTTGCAAAGGGAAAATAACACATAGGTCCAAGTTAAGATACATAATGGCACTTTGAAGCATTGGAATTTTAAAATAACGCATTTTGGATTTAATAAGGCACACGCAATAATTTTCCCTTTCTCTCCGCCAAATTAGTGAAATGGAAAACTCAACAAATTAAATCAGCTATATGAATAATGGATAAGATTATCTTTTGACAAAAAACAATTAGTGGTTTTAATTTTACCAGCCTGAATGTTATTTATATTATTCAAAGTGTATATTTTAAACTACGAAGAAAAATACTGGACGTTGATTTTTAGATGTAGGAAGGGATGGTTGATGTATAAATTTGCAGAGGAAGTTATATTTTAATTTCATAAGTGATTTATGAAAACACCGCGTAGATTATTGTGGTACACACAAGTAAACTTGAGTTGAGCTTACTATGAATTTCAACCCAACATTAATATTATTAATGTTTCTATGAATTTCCAAACAGTTTTCGGGGAATTAATCTACATATGTGGCTTATTATTGTTATGCGTATTTTAACAAATAAGCATTCTTGTTTTGATAATTTAGGATTTCAAGGTTAAGGTCATATCATACCACTTGTTTACAATAATCGATCTCTTGAATTTTACCGAAATTTAAATTAAATTACGCAGCCCATTCATTAATTTTAATAATATAATAACAGTGGTTGGTTATTTCTAAGAGTACATGTCAAGAGTGAAGACATGCACGAAGGTGAAACTACTCAGACACTTGACTTTGTATATTATTTATGGGAAGCAACAAGAACAACAAATCATTTCTAGACGCAAAACAAAACCAAAAAAGAAAAAGTTGAATAATATTCTTCATCGTATTCTTATTCTTGCTAGCTATATAATTATGATAGAACTGCGCTATAATATTTTGCTTCCCTTATTCTTTTTATCAAGACCGGCACTTGATGATCATCTGCATGAAAATAAAAACCAGAATGAGATTGAAGGCAGACATTAATACTAAAAAGATGAATAACAACATTGTTACAAGACATGGCTGATATTTATGAAATAAAAGGTAATAAGTATGCATACGAGGAAAGATTTGTCTCGGCTTATGTAAAAATACTTATAAGTATTTAAGATAAGCAGATATAAACAAGATTTAATTAGGATCTCTTCGCACTTTGGAGTAAGGCTAATTACAAGAAGGATGGGAATCTAAAAAGCTGTTTCTATAGGCATTTAAATTACTACAAAATTCTTTAATAATATAGCAAATATGTGAAAGTTAATTCATTTATTACAACGCAAACTGTGTGTGTGTGTCAAGGACCTGTTCATTTTCATATGTCATGTTCAAATTAAATTAAGAACCTAATAATAAGAATCAAATTCAGCCTTCATGGCAAGCTCATCATGAAGATTTGATTTGGAGGTCTTGAATTTGAAACCAAGAATTTGATCCAAAAAATTAAATTAACGCATAACTCATCAGTTTTTCCCAATGGAAAGAATGATTTATATGAATAAAGAAAGGAATAAATGTATATGAACCTGAAAATGAAATGAAGAGAGTCATGGTGTTCAACCAGAGGGGGACCTGACATCTTGACCATTAGGGATTGAAGTGCCATCTTTTATATTGGAGCCCTGGGTCTGAGTGCCAGATGCTGTAGTGTTTCCCTGATTTCCCTGATTTGGACTAAAGATATCCTGACTATCAGGAACTGATGTGCCATTTCTTATATTATTGGAGCCCTGTGGTGGAGAGCTCATACTGCTCCTTCCTTCACAAAGCTAAGCTTCTTCTTCTTCTTCAAAAGATTGCTTATAATTTGATGAACAGATAGCTACGGTCTGCTGTGAAACCCATGAATCAGATACCTGTATTTATATGCATATATGGCGAGTCAAGCTAGGTGTCCATGTTCGTCGATGAAAAGTGTGGGAAAATTAAAGGAAATGAGCATGTATAATGACGTAATTAATATTCAAGTGATTGTTGAGGAAGTCTACGTGCCAATTACTACTGTCTAACACTTTGAACTTACGGAGGTTAATTTGAAAAACAAATTAAGGTGATTAATACTATCTTTAATGCTTAATATAAGAGTTAGTTAGAAATTTAATTTAGTCTTAAATATAAGACTTTAATCAATTTTGCCTCTAATATTTATTCATTTTACTTCCAAGTAATTCCTATGGTGATTGCACGTGTTAAGGAGTCTCCAATGAAAAGTAGTTTTAATGCACATGATTAATAGGAATATTTTAAAAAAAATAAGATCATTTTATTACTAATAACCAACTTAAGTCATTTTTTAATATTCATAAATTAATTATCTAATTCTTATATTAAAAATCGAAGGTAGTTTAGTAACATTTCTGGTTTAGTGCATGCGGCAACCCATTAAACATTTTTCAGTTGGACTCATTAATTTTTGTTCATATTTTAACAAAATTGATTTCTTCCTTCCGTTTTAATTTTGCCCCTTTATTGGTCTCTCGCATGAACACGGAATAAGTTTCTTCATTTAATGTGAAATTCTAGCTTAACCTACGACTCTTTTTTTTTGGCAATGTACACCAAATTTCTCTCAAATTTTCCTGGTAATGATTATTGAATTATATATGCCGCGGAAGATGGATTCGTTGCATTTATAGGTGAAATTTAACCTTTTTAAAAAAAAATCAAGGGGATTAATTCCATGACGAATACATAGATTATGATACTTAACTGAAGCCTACAACATCATTACAAAATTAGTTTTTTCGTTTGAAAGTTAAATAAATTTGAATTAGGTTTGCGTATATACTGAAATTGGCAAGATATTCATATATAGACAACTATTCAACACTTTGCTCTAAGCCGAAATTAATTGTAAAACCCTTCGTCCGTGGAATATTTACCATGCACAATATATGTATACAGATAAGGCCAAAGTTTAATAAACTATCGTGATGAAATTCCGTTGATTAATTTAGGCAATGTTAGTTAATCATATTCATTAATTTGGGATTTCGGAGTTTTTGTTTTCTGGTTTTAATTTTCTTTCCAGAATCGGCCTTTTCTTCTTTGGAGAGATTCACGTTAAAAAGGCCTTTTGAAATGGCATTGTGGGCTGTACTTTTGGGCCGAAATTGATATCTTTTCGACCATTAGACTTTTATTCTTTCTTCTGTTCCTGGGCATTTTTGCCACTATTGGGAATTTGGGATCCGTTGGGTTCATGTCATATGGGCTCTTTTGTTTCATATTCAAGAAATGATTTGGGCTAATTTTGAGTTGCCCTTTCTCCATATCTTTATTTATTTAGCAATCTGATTTATTTTAAGTGCCATTTAGTTGTTTAAATACAGGAAAAATTTAATTTTGGCTACTTTAACATACCAGAAAGGTCATCAACTGAAACTAACAAAACTTGATCAATTTGACTAATAAACATATATCCCCAAAGGGAAACAAACATTACTTTATCTATTTCAACATTTTGCTGAAAAAAATTCATGATGGCATTATTAAAAAAGTTAAAGCTAGACAATATTGGAAAAGGCGATACATAAAGATAGATGGAATTTGGAGGCATGGTGACAAGTCCTGAGCAATCATTTTCTACAAGATTTAAAGCAAGCAGCAAGCACAACAAATTAAATCAAACCTAGACACAAAACAAGTGTTATATGTGCTGCTTTGTTTGTTGGCCACTTATAGCCTTCTTTGTCTCCTTCTCCCCTTCACCCTCATATACATATATATATATATATATATATATATATCCCAAAAATAAAAAAGTACTTAGAAATAATTGCAGATGAAGAAAAAGAAGTTGGATATATAGATAAAGAGCGGGAAGGTGTAGGTGATGTTCTTGTTGAATTCGATTATGCTAAAACGACGTGTGTAATAATTATAGTTGAGTGAGCAAAACTTATAAGTGTTACAGCTGCACATATTTGAGAAAAGTAAATCATATAATGATGTATGTTCATGGCTGAGATGAGAGAAAAAGACAAGGGAAGCTGAGGTGAAGTATCTTTTGTTGTTGGGAAGAGAAGGGAACGCCACAAGCCAGGAAAGAGCATGAATCAGTGAAATTAGGGGGGAGGGATTGATTATCTCAAAAGAGCCGAAGCACGCCTACAAGGAAAAAAAAAAAAAGAGGCCCAGAACAGCAGTAATTGAATTATATAATGATGTATGTCTTATAAAGCAAAAGTTATTAGCGTTAAAGGATGTCGTGTTTTTTCAAACCATATATAGTTATTGCAATGATGTGGCTGTGGGGCACGTGAGATCTTCGTTTTTTAGCGAAACAGCCGCACGCATATTCTAATTAATATTTGGAACCCTTTAGTGTTAGACGTTTCTTCTCTGATGACTACTGCTTTGACAAAAAGGGGCTAATTAAATAAACGAAGCTTAAAAGTGATGACATCACGGCTTGATCCATGTCTGAATTATATTAAAACTAGTACAATGGTTTGAATATTATTTAACATAGGCCGTTCAGATTGATTAATGCATTAGGATTGATCGTGTGGCTCTAGTATTCTACTACCTTCGGTCTTTAGTAAAAGAGTTAGTTTGACTTTCAATTTGATCCTAAATATGAGTTCTTAATCCACTTTGTCTCTCACATTTATCTATTTTTCTCAAGATAGTGTTTGTAATAATTATACATGTTAAATGTTATCATCAAATGACACATGATTAGTGAGGATATTTTACACCTATTTATTACAAATAACTAACTCAACTAATTTCTTTAATCTACTCAAATTAATCAACTAATTTTTATATTAAGAAACGGAGGTAGTATCAGCCAAGAAAGCATAGTAACCTTTGGTAAGGGGACTATTATATTATTTGGGAGAGAACATTTAGCAATCTACAGATGGCTTTTCTAGGAGTGTGCATATACATATAATATTCCGTAGCGTTAAATATGGCCACTACAAGGCATATTTTAACTGCCATATCATACTTCATGGTAAGTGTAATTTATTTTAATTAACTTTTCTATTTTTTTTTTACTTTGGAATACTCCAAAATAACACCATAAAGAGAACTTACTCAAAGCCAACTGTTTGTTATTATGATTAATACGCTCAAGCTACTTATATATAAATTATAATATTAAGCACAGGTCGTTTTATATATTATTTATTTTTTCATGCTTTTGTTATATATATGTGTATATTTATACGTATGTATTTTTCATACGCATATCATAAAATCATACCTGATCAAAAATTAACCATAATTTAACCACGGTTTTAAATATGCGTATCGCTGGTTCCCTCATAATTTAGCTGCGATCACTGTGTGTGCGTGCGTGTAAGTCATGGCCTGAATTATATAACTATGACAAACCCGTGATTTTGAATTATTATATATAATAAAATATAAAAGATGGGTCTTAACTCTTAACCATATGATATAAGAATAAAAATAAGAGAGACAAAAGGGCTCCAGTGTACGTCCGTAATTTGTTATCTTCTCATATTTATCGCTTAGTTCATATACACGAAATATAGGATCAACACATCGTTTCGTGTCTATATTGACTGCTTCAAATTTTTTGATGCCTCAAAGTAAATTACACTTAATCAAGCAATTATATTTAAGTATTATAAATCCAAAAAATACTTCTTCCAGAGAATTAGCTCTAAATATTAGTTATTCTTCACCTACAACAAGCCAACATACATTCTAAACTCCATATTGTGAAATGTAAACAATTTATGATTTAAGGTTTCATTTATTTTTATAATTAAAGCTTTAATTTGATTAGTTCAGTGTTTGAAGTCTTAAATAATGAGTTTCAATTATATTTCAATATTGAAAACCAAGTAATATTCAAAATAAGCGGCCACAAGCTAATTATTTCTATGTTTATAGAACCAAATTAAACAAGAACTACTGGATCAATGGAAATCAAGCTCAGACGCAAAACATAAACACATAATGTTTCATTTCTGCCAGCTAGAACGAAGCCACCTCAGTTCAAAGTCTCCGGCGCCCCACCGGCCACCATCTGCATCAAAACAAAATCGGGGATGAGCATAAAATCTGAAAATTAAAAAAGAGAGATTGTACATCATACTTGGAGTAGTTAAGATTTGAGTTTTGGACGAGAAATAAAAGAGTTCTCGTTAGTTATATACTCCTCCGGTCCTAATTATAAGACCCAATTGACTTATTTGAGGAGATTAAGGAAGTAAGTTAAGTTGGTTATTTATAATAAATAAGTGTTGTCATTCCTAAAATATCCTTGCTAATTAAGTATATTGGCTAAAACTATCATTATTAGAAGGATTATCTTGGAAAAAAATGCATAAATATAAGAGACAAAATGGATTGGGTCTTATAATTAGGACCAAATAAAAAGTCAAATTGGATCTTATAATAAGGACCGGAGGAGTATTAAAAATATAGCTAATATGCGAAAGCTTTTACCTGGTAACAGATATAATTATTGCGCGCACACGTGTATATATATACTCGAGACTGATGTCGAAGAATAACATTCAACTCAATGAAAACGAACCTGACAAGTTTATGGGCTCAACGAGAGCTGGGATCATCACGGTTGGAGAAGATCTTGTCGGGGGTTGGGATTGGAGTGGGAGTTCTTAAAGAATTGGTGGTGTGAGGAAGTGGCGCGTATTATTTGCTGGGGAAAAAGCC